AGCAGCTGCGCGGGGCCGGGACGGGCGGCACACGGGCCGGGGCAGCGGCGCACGGGCGTCGACGAGCCGGGGCAGCGGCGCACGGGCGTCGACGGGCCGGCGCGCGGGTCCCCGTCGCCCGTCGCATCGCCTCCCGAGGGCGACGCGCCGAGCGACGAGGCAGAAGCCCGCCGCGGGCCTCGGGGCGCACAGCGGGCAGAGAACCGCCGCGCGCCTCGGGGCGCACGGTGGGCAGAAAACCGCCGCGCGCCTCGGGGCGCACGGCGGGAAGAAAAACTGCCGCACGCCACGAGGCGTGCGGCACAGAGAGTTGCAGTAGAAGTTGCAGCGTAAGCAACGAAGTGGTGGTAACCCACCCAGAGGATCGATCCAAGGGGATCGACCTGCTCTGATAGCATGAAAAAAGTAGAAGAAAGAAAGAGAGGGCTTGACTAGCAAGAATGGGGATACAAATAGCAAACCCTAACAGGGTTGTACTCGCTATAGAGCACCCCACTACAGGCTAGATAAGAACATTCTGACACTGAGTCTGGGGGTGCTGAGACTGGGGGTGCTGAGCCTGGGGGTGCTGAGTCTGGGGGTGCTTAGCCTGGGGGTGTGGAGCCAGGGGGTGCTGGGTCTGCTCGTGTGGCTGCCGGCGGTGCTTCGTCCAGGCGGGAGCCGCTCTCTCCACAGGAGCTGCGCGAGTGGTTCGCCTGCCGCTAGAGACGTGCTGGTGAGTTTGGGGTTGCTGCTGGAGGTGCTGTCGGTGCTGGTGCTGCTGGAGGTGGAGCTGCTGGGGGTGTTGGCGCTGGTGTTTCTACTGGTGCTGGTGCGTTTGGGGGTGCTGCTGAGGCAGCTGGTGCTGATGGTCGTACTGGAGTTGGTGCTGCTGGAGCTGGAGCTGCTGGGGGTGTTGGCGCTGGCGGTGCTGCTGGCGCTGGTGCTTCTGAGGGTACTGGAGTTGGCGCTGTTGGAGCTGGAGGTTCTGCTGGCGCTGGTGCTGCCGCTGGGGGTCCTGGTGCCGTCCTTGCTGGTTCTGGAGGCGCTGAGCGGCCGAGGCCGTACTTCGTTCCGCTCCTGGAGCAGGTTCTTGGTCTCCCTCCCTCTCCTGGTCCTGCTCCTCCCTTAGAGTGTCCACAGCCTGTCCAGTCGCAGTCACAGTTACAGCCCGCCTCCCCGCTACTTGCTCCTTCTCCCTACACTAGTTCTACTGGAGGTCTTGCTGAGTGTCGTGAGCCTGCGTCTCGCCCTGCGTCGACTGTTCGTGCTGCTCGCACTAGTCGTCGTGATGCGCGTCCGCGTCCTCCTGCGGTCCCCGGCACACACCAGATGGCGCTGCGTCCGTCCATTGCTCCTCTGCGTGTCCCTTTCCCGTCTCCTCCAGAGTCCTCTCTTCCTTCTCTTGCTGACCCGGAGTCTGACTCCCTTCGTGTTGCTAGTCCTTCGGTCATGCGCCTTCTTGCTACTGTCGTCACTGACCCTACCTTTGAGTCCACTGCTGCGTCTGCTCTAGTTGCTGAGCTTCTCGACTTCGCTGCTCGCTGCCGTCTAGACTACGCTGCCAGTCTTCTTGCTGAGTCTGAGTCTGTCTGTCCTCCGTCCGTCGGGGGTGAGTGTGCTCTTAGCATGGACGTCCTTGAGGACAGGCAGGAGGAGTTCCAGTGCTTTGCGGCTGCTTTGCCCCATCTCGTGTCCACGCTGATTGCCCCTGAGGGAGACCCGGATGCACCAGACATCCTGACTCCTCGATCGTACGCTGAAGTGATCGAGGGTCCCTACTCCTCTTAGTGGCAGTCGGACATGGACGCAGAGATGGCTTCCTGGAAGTCCACAGGCACCTACGTCGACGAGGTTCCCCCACCTGGGGCGAACATCGTCAGTGGGATGTGGATCTTCAGGGTGAAGCGGCCGCCGGGCTCTACACCTGTCTTCAAGGCGCGTTACGTGGCTCGAGGCTTCAGTCAGCGGCAGGGAGTTGACTACTTTCAGACCTTCTCTCCCACCCCAAAGATGACCACTCTTCGGGTGCTGCTGCACATAGCCGCTTAGCGCGACTACGAGCTTCACTCTCTTGACTTCAGCACAGCTTTCCTGAAGGGTAGCCTGCAGGAGGAGATCTGGCTGCGCCGTCTACTTGGCTTCACTGGGACTTTCCCTCCTGGCACCCAGTGGAGCCTCCGACGGCCAGTCTACGGTCTCCGCCAGGCACCACGTGAGTGGCACGACACACTGAGGACTATGCTTGCGTCTCTTGGGTTTGCTCCCTCTACTGCTGACCCGTCGCTGTTTCTGCGCACTGACACCTCTCTGCCACTGTTCCACATCCTCGTGTACGTCGACGACTTGGTCTTTGCCACTTCTGACACTGCTGGACTCGCCCACGTGAAGTGCGAGCTGCAGAAGAGACACACGTGCACAGACCTGGGTGAACTACGCAGCTATCTTGGCTTGCAGATCACCCGGGACAGAGCACGCCGCACCATTACCTTGACTCAGTCACACATGGTGCAGCAGGTCCTTCAGCGCTTCGGCTTCACGTACTCCTCGCCTTAGGCCACTCCTCTGTCTACTCGCCACTCGCTCTCAGCTCTGCCTTCGGATGAGTCTGTCGAGTCGAGTGGCCCGTACCCAGAGCTTGTTGGCTGCCTCATGTACCTGATGACCTGCACACGACCTCACCTTGCATACCCTCTTAGCATCTTGGCACGCTATGTGGCTCCAGCAAGACACAGACCAGAGCACATGGCTGTAGCGAAGAGGGTGTTGCGCTACGTGTGCAGTACGTCGGGCATGGGGCTAGTGCTTGGAGGGCGACGTTGAGTAGTCCTCACAGGTCACGCTGACGCTTCTTGGGCTGATGACCAGGCTACGCAGCGCCCGTCACAGGGTTTCTCCTTCAGCCTTGGCTCCAGCTCTGTTTCGTGGTGGTCTACTCGCACGTCCTCTGTTCTCAGCTGCAGTTGTGAGGCTGAGATCTACGCAAGGGCCATGGCTGCACAGGAGCTACGCTGGCTCACCTACCTGCTGACTGACCTAGGAGAGCCGCCTTGTTCTCCTCCAGTTCTGTACGTAGACAACAAGGCCATGCTGGCCTTGTGTCGGGAGCACAGACTGGAGCACAGAACGAAGCACATTGCTCTCCGCTACTTCATGTCTCGTGAGCCGCAGTCGCGTGGTCATCTCCGCCTCACCTACGTGGCCTATGAGGCCAACACTGCTGATATCTTCACCAAGGCCCTTCCGCCTTGTGATCATCAGCGCTTTTGTACTGTGCTAGGTCTTGTGCCTACCTGGCCTCACTTGCTCACTTCTTGATCTTGTTTGTACTGTGCTCTTTCTATACCTGCCCTTGCTTGTTTTACCTTTAGATATATGACCCTACATGTGAACTGGCCATGTGGCCTTACTCTTGTGCTCGGTCTGAGTGGTGACTTTGTGATCCACCGTGAGCTTGCTTTGCTTTACTTTGTTTGACTGGTCTTGTGACCACTTCTTCTCCCCCACTTTGCCTATGGGGGTGTGTCTGAACATTATAGCTTATACATTTGTGTAGGCTGTAGTGGGGTAGCCCATAAAGGGTACAACCCAAGTAGGGTTAGTAGTTGTACCCAACTGTTTCATAGTTCATCCATTCCATTCTTACTTCTCGTCAGTCTGTGCTAAGAGCACACTCACCCCTGACGGACGGAGGACAGACGGACACAGACTCAGCAACAAGACTGGCAGCGTAGTCTAGACTGCAGCGAGCAGCGAAGTCGACAAGCTCAGCAACTAGAGCAGACGCAGCAGTGGACTTAAAGGAAGGGTCAGTGACAACAGTACCAAGAAGGCGCGTGACTGAAGGACTAGCAGCACGAAGGGAGTCAGACTCCGGGTCAGCAAGAGAAGGACGAGAGGACTCTGGAGGAGACGGCAAAGGGACGCGCAGAGGAGCAATGGACGGATGCAGTGCCATCTGGTGTGTGCCGGGGACCGCAGGAGGCTGCGGACGCGCAGCACTACGACTAGTGCAAGCAGCACGAACAGGCGACGCAGGACGAGACGCAGGCTCACGACGCTTAGTAAGACCTCCAGTAGGACCAGTGTAGGGAGAAGGAGTAGGTAGCGGGGAGGTGGGCTGTAACTGTGACTGCGACTGGACAGGCTGTGGACACTCTAAGAGAGGAGCAGGACCAGGAGAGGGAGGGAGACCAAGAACCTGCTCCAGGAGCGGAACAAAGTACGGCCTCGGCCGCTCAGCGCCTCCAGAATCAGCAAGGACGGCACTAGTACCCCCAGCGGCAGCACCAGCGCCAGCAGAACCTCCAGCTCCAACAGCGCCAACTCCAGTACGCTCAGAAGCTCCAGCGCTAGCAGCACCGCCAGCGCCAACACCCCCAGTAGCTTCAGCTCCAGCAGCACCAACTCCAGTAGGACCGTCAGCACCAGCTGCTTCAGTAGCACCCCCAGACGCACCAGCACCAGTAGAGACACCAGCGCGAACACCCCCAGCAGCTCCACCTCCAGCAGCACCAGCACCGACAGCACCTCCAGCAGCACCCCTAGACTCAGCAGCACATCTCCAGCGGCGGGCGAACCACTCGCGCAGCTCCTGTGGAGAGAGCCGCTCCCGCCTCGACGAATCACCGTCGGCAGCCACACGAGCAGACCCAGCACCCCCAGGCTCCGCACCCCTAGGCTCAGCACCCCCAGGCTCAGCACCCTCAGACTCAGCACCCCGAGGCTCAGCACCCCTAGTCTTAGCACCCCTGACTCAGCACCCACAGACCCGGCACCTGCAGGCTCAACACCTCTAGCAGCACTAGAGTCAAGCCTGTCGAGGTAGCTGTTGGCTCTGATACCATGACGAGAAGTGAGAATGGAATGAATGAACTACGAAACAGTTGGGTACAAGTACTAACCCTACTTGGGTTGTACCCATTATGGGCTACCCCACTACAACCTACACAAGTGTATAAGCTATAATGTTTTGACATGATATTGACCGTACAGGGAAGTGTCAAGCTCGCCCCAAACCAATGTTCAAGCCAGTCGCACAGAGTCGCTTGCTCGCAGCGCAGAGGCATAGTCGTTCCCGACCCCCCCCCGCCTGCCCTTTTTCGCTCGCACAACGCATAGGAGAGTTGTTTCCAACGCCCATCTTCCCTCCCCCCCGCGCGCCGCCTCTCTCCCTAGGCGGCCCCGTCGTCGCCCCTACGCGGCCCCGTCTCTGCCCCTACGTGGCCCCGTTGCCGGCCCTACGCGGCCCTGTCACCGCCCCTAGCGGCCCCGTTGCCGCCCCTAGCGGCCCCGTCACCGCTCCCCTTCCTACGCGGCCTCGTCGCCGCCACTACGCGGCCCCGTCGGTGCCCCTACGCGGCCCCGTCGCTGCCCCTAACGGCCCCATCGCCGCTCCCCTCCCTACGCGGCCCCGTAGCCGCCCCTAGTGGCCTCGTCGCCGCCCCTACGCGGCCCTGTCGCCGCCCCTAGCGGCCCTGTCGCTGTCCCTAGCGGCCCTGTCGCCGCTCCCCAAACTAAGCGGCCCCATCGCCGCCACTACACGACCCCGTCGCCGACTCTACGCGGCACCCGCCCCTTGCGGCCCCACCGCCACTCCCCTCCCTACGCGGACCCGTCACCACCCCTAGTGGCCCCATCGCCGCCTCTGCCGGCCCGTCGCCGCCTCTATCGAGCAGCCCAGCAGCTGAGCCGCCCAACAGCAGAGCCGCCGAGCCGCCCAGCAGCCGAGCCGCGGAGCCGCTCAGCAGCCGAGCCGCCGAGCCGCCCGACAGCCGAGCCGCCCAACAGCCGAGCCGCCAAGCCGCCGAGCCGTCAAGCCGCCCAGCACCCGAGCCACCGTGCCGCCCGACAGCCGAGCTGCCCAGCACCCGAGCCGCAAAGCCGCCGAGCCGCCCAGCAGCCGAGCTGCCAAGCCGCCCTGCCATCGAGCCGCTACTGTTCCTACCGGCGCACCCCGGCCCTACTTACTCGTACTGGTGAGATCACTCCCTGCCAGGCCACTGTAGTCATGGCTACCCCCAGTGTTCTTACCTTTGATGCTGAGGGTCGTGCTGTTGACTTTGAGGTCTAGGTCGATGACCTCCAGCTGTTCCTACAGTGCGATAGGGCAGACGGACTCTCCTTGTTCGATCTCACCTCTTGTGCCTCCCCTGCCCCGCCTGCTACTGCTGACAGCACTGTTCGCTCACAGTGGGCCACATGCGATGCTGCTGCCCGTCTTGCTGTGCATCGCCACTTACCGACCACTGAGCGTGCGCACTTTAGCCAGTACAAGAGTGCTCAGACCTTGTACGACGCTGTAGTTGCACGCTACTCTTCCCCTGCCACTGATGCACTTAGCCGCCTCATGCTACCGTACCTCTTCCCTGACCTTGCTGCCTTTCCCACAGTCGCTGACCTCATTACGCACCTCCGGACCTAGTGACACTCGCTACCGCGCTGCGCTTCCTACTGAGTTCTGTGCCAAGAACCCCCCCCCCCCCCCATGTACATCACCCTCTACTACATAGTCACCCGGCTCTCTGACTCCCTTCGCTTAGTCAGGGACCACTTCCTCTCAGTTTGCCCCACCACACTCACCGTTGACCTCCTCGAGGAGCGCCTACTAGCAGCAGAGAAGAGCATAGTCGCTGTAGGAGCCTCTCGTGGTGACCCTCGCACCCCCATCTTTGAGGGGTGTTCCCCTTCCCCCCTCTTGCCCTCTATTGCTTCTGTTGCTGCGGCCAACCTCGTTGGTTTTGAGTCAGTCGGCGCTGCGTCTACCCCTAACGGGAGACGCTGCACCGGCAAGGGCAAGGGGGGCAAGGGCGCTGGGGGGGCTGGCGGGGGTGGTGGACGTGGAGGTGGAGGCAGTAGAGGGGCTGGGGGTGGTGGTGGGAGTGGTGGCGGGGGTGGAGGTGTCGGTGGCAGCAGTGGAGGCGGAGGAGGCGGCGGCGGTGGCGGAGGGAGCGGAGGCGGCGGCGGCAGCGGTGGAGCTGGTCGCGGCTCTGCGCAGAGGAGTGGGTCCGGTGGTGGTCCGCGCCTGCAGCAGCACCGCTGTCGTGAGACCCTGTCCCCTCAGCAGCTTCGTGAGTGGTACGCTGCGCGTCAGCGCGGTAGGGGTACTGGTCCCTGCACCTATGTCCTCCGTACCGGCGACCGCGCTGGTGAGCAGTGCGGGGGCCCGCACTCCACCCAGCGGTGCTTCGGCCGTGTGAGGATCTAGGATCGAGCTCAGAAAAGAGAATGTGAATTGAATTTAATTGAATGAATCACCTGGGTATGACACGAGGCTATATATAGGCTCAACACAAGGCCCCGTAACCAGGTGTTACGCGAAGGTTCCGCGGGCCGCGTAGCGTCCCGAGCAGATCTTCGGTAGAAGGCAATTCGGTGGCAACCGAAAAGCCAGAATTTGGTGCACGCAACCTAGCTCGGTGCTATAACTATAATATAATATAGGAAAGCACCTAGCCTAGGAAATCAAGCAATTCATGCATGCATATTATCCTATGCTAGAAATAGCATGATAAAGTAAAGGCAAGCAAGCATAGCTGGCATAAGCCGTCGTACTCTCACACGTCCCCCCCTCAAAGTTGGGTGGCGTGAGATACACCCTGCTTGACAAGATAGTCCTTGAGAGCATGGCGTGCGTTGCCCATATCAGCTTCTACAACCGAACTGTCCTCAGTGGGGTCGTATCCCTTCCAGCGTATCAGGAACTCGAGGGTCTTGCCACCGCGGCGCCGATGAGTGAGAACGCGCTCGATCTCGTACTCGGGTTCATTCTGTATGAGAACAGGTTGTGGTGGCGGTAGTTGCCGTCCCTGGAATGTTATAATCCTAAGCATGGGTGGGCTTAGGAGCCATAGGTTTAGGTGCCTTGGTAGTTAAGTTCGAGGGTAAGGAAAGTATGGAGAGAGTTGAGAAGGAGAATAAGGGTTTCAGTATAGGTTCAAGGGTACAAATATGAAAGAAGTGAAGCAAGGTGCACCACCTAACAAGCAAGATAAGTACACTAAGTCTACATTGCAGGCAGTTATAAAGTGATGTATACAATAACATTCTGACATAGAACTGTTGGTTGGGGTCCTTGTACGGCTTCAGTAGCTGAACATGGAAAGCGTTGTGAAGCTTCCATGTATCTGGTAAGCGCAAACGGAATGTAACTGGTGTCACATGTGCCTCAACGAGAAAAGGACCACAAAAGCAAGGCCAGAGTTTGGATGGGAGGTGAGACAGGTTAAAGTTGCGTGTGTCAAGAAGCACCTGATCTCCGATTGCTACTGAGTGATCACGTCGCTGACGATCGGCATACTGCTTCTGGGAGGTCTGCATTGTGGTGAGTCGTCGATGAGTCTTCTCCCATAGCTGCTGCATGGTGGTGACGAAGTCATGTGCGGCTTGGACGTGTGCCGGAGTGGTTGGCTGCTGTGGTGTGAGTGGTTCCCGTCCGTATGACAGCAAGAAAGGAGTTTTCCGTGTGGCCGCATGTGATGTGTTTTTGTAAGCAAACTCTAGGGTCGGTAACTGTGTGTCCCAGTGGCTGACGTCGTCCTTGCAAGCTGTGCGTAGTAACTGTTCAACCACTTGATTGAGTCGCTCTGTCTGTCCGTCAGCCTGGGGGTGGTATGCTGAAGACATTGCAAGCTTTGTCCCCAACAGTCCCATGAGCTCCTTCCAGAACTTACTGGTGAATTTTGGGTCTCTGTCTGAAATGAGTGTAGCGGGGATGCCGTGGATGGTGATGATGCGGTCGAAGAAGAGGCGAGCACTTGCTTCAGCTGTAGCTGTGGCGTTGGTCGGTATGAAGTGACCCATTTTGGAGAACTTATCGATGACTACAAGGATGGAATCGTGCCCCTGTGAGGTCGAAGGAAGTCCTGTGATGAAGTCGAGGCTAACGACCTGCCATGGCTGCTCCGGTACGGGTAGAGGCTGAAGTAACCCTGCTTTTTTCTGCTTGCTGCTGTTCATCCGCTGGCACGTGTCGCATGAGGTTACGAACTGCTGCACGTCTGCTGCCATCCCGGGCCAGTAGTAATACTTCGCTATCCCTGCTAACGTCTTGTTGCTCCCGAAATGTCCCGCGTAAGGTACGTCGTGAAATTCCTCCAATAGGATCTGCCGTAGCGGGGTGTAATTCGGTACCCAAATCTTTCCTGAACCCTTCCTTACCGCTAGGTCTTTCTCCCACTGTAACAGCTTCTTGGTCTGTGCTGTAGCGATTTTTGCGTCCACGGAGTACCCATGTTGGAATAGAACCTTGAGCAGAGGGTTCATCCCGTCGAGCTGGATGCCTGCTACATGTCCGGGGCGGCTCAACGCGTCTGCCTTGTTGTGTAGCCCGGGCGTGTAGATGATGTCGTAGTGGAAGTGAGTTTCCAGGAAGTCCACCCACCGCACCTGTCATCATGAGATCGTCGGCTGCGACTTCAGGTATTTGAAACTGCAGTGGTCAGTATAGACTGTAGTCTTGGCTCCCTCTAGGTAACACCTCCACGCCTTGAAGGCTATGACTATCGCTAAGGCTTCCTGGTCATGGATGGGGTAGTTCAGTTCTGCTCCATGTAGCTTCTTGCTGAGGTAGGCGATGGGCTGCAAACCGCGTCCGTGATCTTGCATCAGTACTGCTCCGACTGCTTGGTCACTAGCGTCTGATTCCACCACGTAGTTCTTGTCTAGATCCGGCAAGATGAGTACCGGCGCTGTAGTCAGTGCTGTGTGTAGCTGTTCCATGGCTTGCGGATGAGGAGTATACCATTTGAAGGGCGTATCCTTTTTCAGTAGGTCGGTCAGTGGCGCTGTTATCTTTGCGTACTGCGGCACGAACCTGTTGTAGTTGTTGGCAAAGCCTAGGAACTGCTGCAACTCCTTCACGTTCTCCGGTACTTTCCACTTCTTGACGGCTTCGATCTTCCGCGGGTCCACGTGTACGCTGTCGGCACTCACCATGTCCCTGAGAAACTGCACCTTCTTCAGGGCGAAGTTGCTCTTCGACAGCTTCAAGTAGAACTTGTTTTTCCGCAGGATCTCGAACACCTTCCGCAGATGCTCCACGTGCTCTTTCATGTTCTTGGAGGAGATGAGAATGTCGTCCAGGTACACCACCACACACTCGTCCAGCAGGGGTCGTAAGATGTGATTCATCTCCGCCTGAAATGTTGCTGGTGCGTTGCAGAGTCCGAACGGCATCACCAAGTATTCGTAGGAGCCGTATCTAGTACGGAACGCCGTCTTGTGGATCGAGTTGTCTGCCATCTTGATCTGCCAGTAACCCGACCGTAGGTCCAGCTTCGAAAAGACTGTTGCACCACGCAGTTGGTCCAGTAAGTCGTCGATGCGCGGTATGGGGTATTTGTTTTTAACTGTCTGTTTGTTCAGTGCACGGTAGTCGATGCACATCCGTAGAATTCCGTCTAGTTTTGGAGTGAAGAGGACTGGTGCACCGTAGGGAGAGGTGGATGGGCGGATCAGTTGTCTGTCCAGTAGATACTCTATCTGTTTCTTCATGTCTGTCAGCTCGATCGGACTCAGACGGTATGGTGCACGTGAGACGGGTTTTGCACCTGGTTCCTCCACGATCTCGTGCTCGTGGGTGCGTGCTGGAGGTACACCTGCAGGTAGGTCGTCGGGAATGATGTCTTTGTACTGCTCCAACACCTCATTTACTGCTGCAGGTAGCTCCAAACTCGGCTTCTTTTCCTCTGCTCCTGCCATTACCAGTGCTAAGTATCCCGTGCTACTCTCATTCACTGTTCGTTCGAACCGTGCCAGTGTCGTTTCAGGAACGCTCCCTGTATTCGTCCAGCTTCGCAGCTCCACTCGTTTCCCGTTGTTGTAGATGCGCGCCTTCCTGTTGACCCAGTCGATCTCGGGGTTGAACCGCTTCAGGAAATCTCGCCCCAAGATGAAATCTAAACCCTTGATGTTTGTGATCGGCAACGTCGGCTTCCACCTGAGCGCCCCTTTGTGCAGCTGCAGTGATGCTTTGCCGTGGATGGGAAGTTTCGTACCATCCACCATTGTTGCCGAAAACTTAGTCTCCTCCGAAAAATCTCCAATTTTCTCCAACGTCCCGCGGTCGCACACCGAGTGAGACGAACCACTGTCCACCAGTGCCTGGAGGCGTCGCCCGTTGCAGATCACCTCGAGTAGTAGTTGTTGTTGCTGCTCCGAGTAACCGTAGATGGTCTCGCTGTGAAGAATGAGGAATGAATGAACTAGCAAGCAGGTGGGTACAAGTAGGAAAACCTAGAAGTATTGTACCCCATATTGTCTACCCCACTATAGCCTACACAGATTATAGCATAAAATTTTGACACACCCCCATAGGCAAAGTGGGGGAGAACAAGAGGTCACAAGACCAATCAAGCAAAGCAAAGCAAGCTCAGGGTGGATCACAACGTCACCACACAGTCCAAGCACAAGAGCAAGGCCAGAAGGCCAGTTCACATGCAAGATCATATATAAAGGTAAACAAGCAAGTGCATGTATACAAAGAGGACAGTACAAGCAAGGAAGTAGCGAAGAGCAAGGAAGTAGCGAAGAGCAATGTGCTTCGTTCTGTGCTCCAGTCTCTGCTCCCGACACAAGGCCAGCATGGCCTTGTTGTCTACGTACAGAACTGGAGGAGAACGAGGCGGCTCTCCTAGGTTAGTCAATTGGTAGGTGAGCCAGCGTAGCTCCTGTGCAGCCATGGCCCCCGCGTAGATCTCAGCCTCACAGCTGGAGCCGAGAACAGAAGACGAGTGGGTAGACCGCCACGAAACAGAGCCGGAGCCAAGGCTGAAGGTGTAACACTGTGATGACCACTGCAAAGCCTGGTCGTCAGCCCAAAAAGCGTCTGCGTGACCTGTGAGGAACACTCGACGTCGCCCTCCAAGCACTAGCCCCATGCCTGACGTACTGCACAAGTAGCGCAACACCCTCTTCATTGCAGCCATGTACTCTGGTCGGTGTCTCCCAGGAGCAACATAGCATGCCAAGATGCTAAGAGGGTATGCAAGGTCAGGTGGTGTGCGGGTCATCAGGTACATGAGGCAGCCAACAAGCTCTGGGTACGGGCCACTCGGCTCTACGGACTCATCCGAAGGCAGAGCTGAGACCAAGTGGCGAGTAGACAGAGGAGTGGCCTGAGGCGAGGAGTACGTGAAGTCGAAGCGCTGAAGGACCTGCTGCACCATGTGTGACTGAGTCAGGGTATTGGTGCGCTGTGCTCTGTCC